CTCCTAGGTTAAAATAATTTTTTCATTTAAGATAAATAATTTCCAGAAATTGCCCTTTTGAGACATCACCTTCATAACGGTTTGTCTGTCTTTTTTCCTCTGATCAGTTTTTATTGATACCATTTTTGGAAACTGAGATGAAAGGAAATGTGGAATAAAAGAGGGTTTTCCTGATGTGGTGTAAAGAAAACAGATTCAAGAGGATTGAAGGGTTGTTTTTTTTTTTTTTTTTCTTGGTACTTTTTTTCTTTTTAAATTAGAGCTAATGTTTGTTTTGCGGTGCTTGAGGCATATTCATATAACCAAAGTTTGGGAACTGGGAACTTCATGCCGATTTGTACATGTTGAAGTTTCTCTGGTATTCAAAGGTTATATAGTGAATGGATTTTCAGTAATAAATCATTTTGTCAGAAACTCCTATATCATCTATATTTTATATATGTATATATAAACATGCTCTTTAAGTGTGTCTATATGTGAGCACACAAAATCTAAATAAAATTGGACTGGTGGGAAATGATTAGTGTAGGCATTATCTGGGTTCTGTTTAATGTCCTTTATCACAGTTTTTTTCCATTTTTAAATCTGGCAACAAACATAAACACTAATGTCTTTCAGAGGTTAAAGTGAAAGCCAAAGCCAGTCAATCCTGTGTTAACCAAGAGTAGAGTTTCATCACAGAAGCACTTACTACTCAGATTTCCAAAACAATCCTAAACCACCCTGTTGGTTTGGCTGATGGCCATAGCTGTTTTTGTTTATGTAGAGATTAAGAGGATAGTGAATTTTGGCACCTGAAAGAAGCCATTTGTCACTGAAGTTTTTTACCACAATAACAAAGATTTTTAATCATCTCTCAAATTTGGAAGAATCTGTCTTTACTTCTGTTAATACTAAAATCTCCTCTTTCCTTTCCAGCTCATGCTATGATTTGGTTGCAGGTTCTTGATTGTTTCATGTCCTCACTTTTTCTAGCCCCGCACTCTTCCCCTCCTGCACAGCCCAAGTGACCAGTTCTTTAAAATGTTTCATGAACAGTGTAGGTTGGTTCTTGTGGTAGAGAAATCGTTAATCCAAGTAAGAAGTCACCCAGCCGGGTGCTCCAGAACGCAGAAGCTAAGACTCAGTGCCTGCTGTTGCACGGGCTTAGTGGCGTGGCAATCTTTTTTTTTTTTTTTTTTTGCTGTTAATATTTTGTATTTTATTCTTTTTTTTTTTTTTAATTTTTTATTGGATTTTAGGTTTTGGAGTACATAAGCAGAGCATGCAAGACAGTTGCGTAGGTACACACATGGCAGTGTGCTTTGCTTTTCTTCTCCCCTTCACCCACATTTGGCATTTCTCCCCAGGCTATCCCTCCCCACCTCCCCCTTCCACTGGCCCTCCCCTCTTCCCCCCAATAGACCCCAGTGTTTAGTACTCCCCTTTCTGTGTCCATGTGTTCTCATTTTTCATCACCCACCTATGAGTGAGAATATGCGGTGTTTCATTTTCTGTTCTTGTGTCAGTTTGCTGAGGATGATGTTCTCCAGATACATCCATGTCCCTACAAACGACACAAACTCATCATTTCTGATTGCTGCATAATATTCCATGGTGTATATGTGTCACATTTTTCCAATCCAGTCTATTATCAATGGGCATTTGGGTTGATTCCAGGTCTTTGCTATTGTAAACAGTGCTGCAATGAACATTCGTGTACATGTGTCCTTATAGTAGAACGGTTTATAGTCTTTTGGATATATACCCAGTAATGGGATTGCTGGGTCAAATGGAATTTCTATTTCTAAGGCCTTGAGGAATCGTGGCATGGCAATCTTAACTGCCTCTTGCTGTGGAGAGATTTCCAAGAATCAAACCTGACTTCTGTTTTCATTTGTCCCATTATATTGTGGTATTGGGACAGCTTAATCAGATGGAACTTAAAGAGAACTAATGTTCATTTTTTGAGGAAGGAGGAAAGTGAAAAAGGCACAATTACTTTGTCCCTAACGGCCCTCTACAAAACAAATCAGAGCAACCATCTACTTAACATTTGTATCTATTCTGAGATATTTAACAGCACTTTTTAATTCTCTTTCATCTAGGGTTTATTGTTTTAGTTCCTGTTGTTTATTCCTTCTTTATTTAATACAACAAGGCATGAAAGAATATTTTTAGTTGAAAATACTTAGGTTTTTAATAACACTCATTTCATTTTTATTTTCCATCTAGCTCACTCCAGTGTATAACCACAGTTTAAGGCAGCAGTGTGCAGTCATGGAAAGGGCATGAGATTTTAAATCAGCCAAGCAGGGCTCACATGCCAGCCACATACCTAGCTAGTATTTCAACCTTGCCCACATCATCCACATGCCTAGCTAGAAACTTGTCTAAATCAAGCGAATTTCTGAGTCAGCTAGAAGATGGGCTAATGGCACCTACTGGGAAATGAAATAATATAAAACACTGAACAAAAGATCCAACACAGATAGTGCTCAGTACATGTCAGCTCTTCTAGTTGACCAGGAAACATTTATGAAGTACCTGCTGTATGTTAGCTACTATACTGGTTGCTATGCATATTTTAGTCCTTGTCTTTCCCACCCCTTCCCACCCCCAGTGAGCTAACAGATCCCCAGAGGTTAAGGAATATGCAGTAGTCCCCCATTATCCATACTTTCAGTTACTTGAGGTCAACCATGGTCTGAAAATATTACATGGAAAATTCCAAAAATAAATAATTCCTAAATTCTAAATTGCACATCATTCTGAGTAGTGTGATGAAATCTCACACCATCCACCCAGGATGTGAATCATCCCTTTGTCCAGCATAGCCACACAGTATGCACCATCCTCCCATTCATCACTTAGTAGCCCTCTTGGTTATCAGATTGACTGGGTATCACGGTGCTTGTGTTCAAGTGACCTTTATTTTACTTACTCATGGCCCCTACGTGTAAGAGTAGTGATGCTGGCAATTCAGATATGTCAAAGAGAAACCATAAAGTACTTTCTTTAAGTGAAGAGGTTAAAGTGCTTGACTTAATAGGTAAAGGAAAAAAAAATTATATGCTGAGGTTGCTAAGATGTATAATAAGAATGAATCTTTTATCTGTGAAATTGTGAAGAAGGAAAAAAATTCCTGCTAGTTTTGCTGTTGCACCTCAAACTGCAAAAGTTAGTGCAACAGTGCATAAGTGCTTAATAAATGATGGAAAAGGCATTGAAGACAGGAAACAGTGTGTTCTGATTGACAGCACATGGGTTTAGAGCTAGCCACAGGTTTAGGCATTTGCTGGGGGCCTTGGAATGTATCTCCCACGGATAAGGGGGCTGCTATAGTACCAGCTCAACCTCCAGGAGTTCATTATGAGAGGAGATCTATTCCGTCATACCCACAGGCAATCTGATAGACCAAAAGTCCTGACACCCTCGTTCTCTGCCAAGGTCCTGGTGGAGTTTTTTCTTCATCGTGAGTGACTGTTTATCAGTGGGGAACATTCAGTCATCTCTGAACGAATTGTCTCTATTCTGAGAGAATTGTCTCTTGCTGGTTAAAATGACGTTTTTTAGGGCAGCATATCTAAACTGATATTCAACAAGGGGATCGAAAGGAGATATAACTAAGTTCTATGACTGCTTTGCCAGATAATTTCTCTCTGGTATATTGCTCTGGAAACCAAATATTGACTAAGCTATCCCACTCCAAAAGTATATTGGAGCAAAAAATTAGTTCGGTTGTATTCTTGAAAACCTCAACAGGAAAAGAGGCAGCTAAGTAGATTTCACCTGTTTTCTTTGTCTTCTCCAATCCATGTGTTTGCCTGTCTATGGCTTTGTTGTGATGCAGGGAAGACCTGACTCTGGTGTATCTGCTTAAACAAATCTGCTCTATCTTTATTAAAGATAAGTAAAGAGGAAGGGGGCTTATACTTCCTTCTCTCAAGCCATGGATATGCCCCGGCCTTTGTCAGGAGGAAAAGGCAAGTCTGGCCATTGCTGGAACGTGAGCTCCAAAAAATGCAGACACACACACACACACATACACACATTTTTTTTTCTTTTGAGATAGAATCTTGTGCCATCAGTCAGGCTGGAGTGCAGTGGTGCCATTTCATCTCACTGCAGCCTCCACTTCCCAGGTTCAAGCAATTCTCCTGCCTCAGCCACCCGAGTAGCTGGGATTACAGGCATGCGCTACCATGTCCGGCTAATTTTCATATTTTTAATAGAGATGGAGTTTCACCATGTTGGCCAGGCTGGTCTCAAACTCCTGACCTTGTGATCCACCTTGGCCTCCCAAAGTGCTGGAATTATAGGTGTGAGCCACCATGGCCTGTTGAGCTCAGAATATTGACCCTGTCTTTTTTGGGAGAAAGAGAGCCCCAGCATGATACTTACTAGAACAAACGGTTGAGATCCACTGACCCACTGCTGTTTTCTGTTCCAGTGGCAGAGTGCTTTTAGCCCCTTTACTCAGATCCCATGTGGAGCTACTGAACCCTCAGGTGGAAGATTTCCCAAACAAGGCTACCAAAATTGTGTCTGATAACGGGTTTTATTTCTTCTGATTACTTATTTTAAATTTAGGGATAATGTATCATGATGGTTTTGAACTTGGAAATGAGGAGAGATCGGTGCTAATGTTTGTGCAATTTTCATAAATAAGAATACACACTATAGCTATGTTTTCTTATATAGCTATTTCTTATATAGCAATAGCTATAGATAAATCGGGATTATTGTAAGATTCTGTAATATTACTTAGAGTGGTGTAGTCAGGAAAATTTTTTTTAAGGAGCATTTCAGACATATACAAAAATAAAATAGAGTAATAAACCTCTGTATACCTATCACCCATCTCCAGTATTTATCCATTCATGGCTAATCTCACTTCTGCCTATATTCCTACTCATTTACCCATGCCAAATTACTATGAAGTTCATCCCAGACATTATATTCTATCTGTAAATCAGTATGTCTTAAAAAGATGACCAGAACATCATCACACCCACACATCAAGAAAGAAAATAAAGAAATTTTTATTCCCTTGTCACCACTTCTTTTCTCAAGCAATTATGCCACTTTTTGTGTGAGGTTTCATATGCATGCTCCTGTTTAACACATTTAGAGGGTGTCTGAGCTATGTGATAGAAGTTTTTGCGTGTAGATTTGTCATTCCGTGTTAGATGCGAGGCTTGCGGAGATGGTCACTGGCATGAAGAGCTTGCTGAAGGTGAAGAGAATTCTGGCTGTGTTAGTTTTTCTTCCCTACCAGCTTCCTGGAGTCATGTTGTTTCTTGGTGTGTGCGCTCTCTTAATTTTCATGTTCCCTCAAGAATGCTCACATCCTGGACAGGGAAGATGTCCTGAAGGTCCTGAGGACCATATCCTCAGCATTCACATATTCCTAGACACCCTGAGTGCCTTCTCTGGGTCAGTCACTAAATTCCATGCAGGAGATACACCGATGAACAGCTGGTCCTCAGCACTGAGCTCTAAAATGAGGCAAAGAGTGAGGCTAAGTGATTTAAAACCTGTAAGTAGCATTTTCTTTTTACCACTCAGCTCCAGTCCAACCTAGAGGAACCAGTGGAATTTGTATGCTGTCAATTTGGAAGCCTGAATAAAATCCTGCACTGTGTCAATTCATCACAGTGTTGAGCTTCCCTCCACAACTTCCTTTGTGGAGAGTTGTGTAAACAAATGATCTCACTCCTAATATAAATGTAAGATGGGCCAGCTAAATGCCCTTTGTTGACTTAATTTAAACCTAAGAGCCAGTCCCTGCTATGCTCATTCCATTGGGGCCTGGACTCTAGGAAAGTGGCACTAGAGGTTACAAAGTTATTTTCTAGTGAAATGTTACATTTCCCTGTAGTGAGTCTATACCAGTCAGGCAAAAGGTGAAGTATGTTTTATTGTAGCTGGAATTGCATTACTTCAGTCCAGACAGTACAATTTCATCCATAAAAGACAAAATCAGCTTAACAAGTGAACTTTATTTGGTATCAAAGTATTTTAAAATATGGGGACCATGGGGATAAATTAAGAGAGGAGGTCCTTGGTGGTAAAAGGTGGAGACCATCACTGTGGAATCTTGCATTTTCTATTAAGATTTGTAACAGTCCTACAAACTTGGACATAAATTTTTAATATTTGGCAAGGAACATTCACTGTATAATTGTTAATAGCATCAAAAATACAACCATTATCAATAAATACCTGATCTGTCCTTGAAGACATATTCACCATTATCTAAACCTCACATTATTTCAGCTTATTTATTCCACAGATACCAATAGATATGTTTTCACATTGTAGCATCTCTCAAATTGAAATACTTCTAAAAACTGGTAGTATGTCGGCCAGGCATGTTGGCTCACGCCTGTAATCCCAGCACTTTGGGAGGCCGAGGCAGGTGGATCACGTGAGGTGGATCACCTGAGGCCAGGAGTTTGAGACTAGCCTGGCCAACATGGTGAAACCCCATCTCTACTAAAAATACAAAAACTAGTTGGGCATGGTGGCAGATGCCTGGAATACCAGCTACTCGGGAGGCTGAGGCTGGCGCATCGCTTGAACCCAGGAGGGAGGCAGATGTTACAGTGAGCCGAGATTGTGCCATTGCACTCCAGCCCGGACGACAAGAGCAAAAATTCATCTCAAAAAAAAAAAAAAAAAAAAGGTTATATGTCCCAATTTGCAGATATTTTTCCTACTGGTACATAAAAATAAGATACATTTTACAATCTCTGGCATCTTATATTTGACAAAGCATGGTAATTTGAGTGACACCTATATGCCAGTCACTTTGAAGCTTTGGATCTTAAAATTGTGACCAAGGTAGATGGAGTCCCTGTTAATGAGTTTATACTCCAGCAGGGAACATAGACAATAGCTATAGAAAAGTCGTGATTATTGTAAGATTCTGTAATATTACTTAGGGTGGAGTTGTCAGGACATTTTTTTTAAAGAGCATTTCAAACATACAAAAATAAAATGGTAATATACCCATCACCCATCTTCAGTAATAATCCGCTCATGGCTAATCTCACTTCCGTCTATATTCCTACCCATTAGCCCATGCCAAATTATGAAGTTCATGCCAGACATTATATTTATCGGTAAATTAGTATGTCTTAAAAAGATGACCACAGCATCATCACACGCACACATCAAAATAATCGGGAAAGGAAATCTGATTCCAAAAAATGAAGTAAACATTTTTCTTCTTTCTTCTAAGCTCATTTAAAAAGCACTGAACACTATATATAAGACAAACAAGAACATTTTGAAAGGTGGAAAAAGGAAGGCAGATTGGCTAAAAAGAAGGCAGATGTTGGGAATCAAGGAATAATATAGTGGTGAGTTCCCCGGATTTTTTTACTGTTGGTATATCCCATACTTACCAGTTACTGGAGTACCCAACAACCTGGAAAGGCTGCAGACAGACAAAGGCTCAAGAGCCCGTTCTCTGTAGCTAAAGGACCAGGAAAGTGCAACCAAAAAAGTCTTGAAAGTGGAGAGCAGTGACACATTTTGTAAAACAAACACAAAAAAGGAAAACTAAGAGAATTACTTGCCAGCAGACCTGCCCTAATACAATGGCTAAAGGAAGTTTTTTCACAGTCCAAAGATCTTTAAAAACAAACAAAAACACCTATTATGGCATGAATTAGTAGAGAGTAGGTTCTGGCAGTTCAGCCTTCTTCCAACTGGTTCTCAGAAAACGCGCTTCTGTTTGTTAAGCCCAGATAACTTTCTCTTTGGCTTCCTTCTTTTTCTGATCATTTTCCTTCCCATATCTCAGGAAGCGATCTCAGCCCTTAGAGTCCTTACTACACTCAATATGCACATTAATCTCTTGACAAGAGTATTACCCTTAATTGGTTTGTTTACAACAATGCCAAGAGCATGGTAACACTGTAGACTCCCAGTTTTGCCATGGTAACATTTGTGGGGCATTCCTTTTTGAACAGTTTTCATTCCCCTGATGTCTACAGTATGACCTTTCTTGTTAGATTCCTGTGTGTGGCTAAAGGAACAACTGCATGCTATAAAGAGATTTCGTTTTATGTTTGTCATTTTGGTGAATTACTGGAAAATGGTGGTTCTGGCTGAAATGCTAAAGAAGTTCTTGAAACAGAAAGGAAACCATAAAAGAAGGAATCCTGGAAAATCAGGGAGGAAGAATAGAAAAAGTAAAAATACGGGTAAATACAATACACCTCTCTAGGTTTCTAAATTACGTATATTTAGGCAGAATTATAATTCTGTCTATTGGGGTTTTTACTGTAAGTAAAGAAAGTAATTGTTATAAGAAAGAAAAGGGTCATAGAGGTAAGGTTTCAGTTAAACACAAACAGATAAAATGTTGATGCCAGCAGACTGGAAAGCTGTACATAATACAGTGTAGCAGCTAGAGCAACCACTAGAAAGGCTATGAAAAGCAACATACTCAAAAACACTATAGATAAACCAAAATGGGATTCTCAAAAAAAAAAAAAAAAAAAAAAAAGTTCAATGAACCCAGAGGAAGAAAAAAAGAACAACCAGAAAAAAAATGGCAGAAAAACCAAAAGCTGGTTCTTTGAGAAGATCAGTATAATAAGCCTCTAACTAGACTAGGAAAAAAGTAAAGATACAAAATTACTAATATGAAAAATGGCCAGACAAGGTGGTTCATGCCTGTAATCCCAGCACTTTGGGAGGCTGAGGCGGGCAGATCACAAAGTCAGGAGATCAGAGATCAAGACCATCCTGGCCAACATGGTGAAACCTCATTTCTACTTAAAATACAAAAATTAGCTAGGCATGGTGGCACATACCTGTACTACTCAGGATGCTGAGGCAGGAGACTCACTTGAACCGGGGAGGCAGAGGTTACAGTGAGCCGAGATCATGCCACTGCACTCTAGCCTGGTGACAGAATGAGACTCCATCTCAAAAATATAAAATAATAAAGAATGAAAGAGGGCATCACTATGTATCCCATGACATTAAAAGGATAATGAAAGAATATTATGAACAGCTCTGTTCACAAATTTAGTAAGCTGAAGTAATGGATCAATTCCTTGAAAACACATCTGCTTTAAATCACATAAGAAGAAACAGAGAATGTATTTTATGACTAGACTGTAATTAGACCTATGAGTCTTAAAGATAAGAATCAATAATTAATGACCTTCCAAACAGAAAGCATTTGACCCAGATTTCTGGTGAATCCTACCAAACATTTAAGAAAGAATTTGTACCAATTCTTCATGTCTTTCAGAAGACAAAAGCAGAGAGAATCCTTCTTAATCTAATTTCTGAAGTCAGCATTACCCTAATACTAAAACCAAAGACATTACAAGAAAGGAAACTACAGGCTAATATTTCTTATGAGCATAGATGTAAAAATCCCATACAGATTATTAATAAATGGAATCCAGAAATGTATTAAGATAATTATACACACAACCAAATGGGATTTATCCTAGGTATGTAAGGCTGGTTCGACATTCAAAATCAATTGATCTAATCCATTGCATCAACAGGCTAAAGAAGAAAAATAACATGATCATATACAGAAAAAGCATTTGACAAAATCCAACACACATTCATGATTTTAAAAAAACCTCTAGGCAAACTAGGAATAGAAAGAAAGCTTTGCATGTTATGAAGATATCTTGGGGGGGGCAGGGAAGAAAAAAAGATAACTTCTTCAACTTACAGTTTAAAAAGCCTACAGCTAACATCATAGTTAATGGTGAGAAACATGAAGCTCTCCTGCTGAGATCAGGAATGAGGCAAGGATATCCCATATCACCACTGTTTTTTAACGTTATATTCGAAATCCTAGCTAATGCAATACAATAATAAAAGGAAAATACTTTGTTCATAGATGACATGTAACATTAACAGATAAGGAACTGATAAACAATTGCAGCAGGGTTGCAGGATACAATGGTTTTTGGTCTTGTTTTGTTTTATTTGAGACAGAGTCTCACTCTGTCACCCAGGCTGGAGTGCAGTGGCGCAATCTCAGCTCACTGCAACCTCCACCTTAGGGGCTCAAGGGATCTTCCCACTTCAGCCTCCCAGGTAGCTGGGACTACAGGCGTGCATCACTACACCCATTTAATTTTTTGTATTTTTAGTAGAGACAGGGTTTTACTATGTTGGCCAGGCTGGCCTCAAGTAACCCACCTGCCTTGGCCTCCTAAAGTGCTGGGATTACAGGCATGAGCCACCACGCCTGGCCAGGATACAATATAATGTACAAAACTCTGTTGCTTTTCTATACACAACAATTAACAAATGGAATTTGAAATTCAAAACATATTACCATTTGCATTACCCCCTGCCAAAATGAAATACTTAGGCATAAATCTAACAAAATATGTATAAGGTGTATGAAAACTACAGAACTCTAATGAAAGATACCAAAGAAGAACTAAAGACATGGAGAGATATTCCATGTTCATGGATAAGAAGACTCCATTTTTCAACTTAATCTATAGATTCAACACACTGCCAATTAAAATCTCAGCAAGTTGAAGTTGCTTATCAGCTTATGGAGATTTGGGGTTGAGATGATGGGGTTTTCTAAATATACAATCATGTCATCTGCAAACAGGGACAATTGAATGTCCTCTCTTCTTATTTGAATACCCTTTATTTCTTTCTCTTGCCTGATGGCCCTAGCCAGAACTTCCAATAAATACTGTGTTGAATAGGAGTGGTGAGAGAGGACATCCTTGTCTTGTGCCAATTTTCAAAGGGAATGTTTCCAGCTTTTGCCCATTCAGTATAATATTGGCTGTGGATTTGTCATGAATAGCTCTTATTATTTTGGGATATGATCCATTGATACCTAGTTTATTGAGAATTTCTAGCATAAAGGGCTATTGAATTTCATCAAAAGCCTTCTCTGCATCTATTGAGATAATCATGTGGTTTTTGTCTTTGGTTCTGTTTATGTGGTGGATTATGTTTATAGATTTGTAAATGTTGGACCAGCCTTGCATCCCTGGGATGAAGCCAACTTGATCTTGATAGATAAGCTTTTGATGTGCTCTTAGATTCAGTTTGCTAGTATTTAATTGAAGATTTTTGCATCAGTGTTCATCATGGATATTGGCCTGAAAGTCTCAGGATACAAAATCAGTGTGCAAAAATCGCAAGCATTCCTATACACCAGTAATAGACAAACAGAGAGCTAAATCATGAGTGAGCTCCCATTCACAATTGCTACAAAGAGAATAAAATACCTAAGAATACAACTAACAAGGGATGTGAAGGACCTCTTCAAGGAGAACTACAAATAACTGCTCAAGGAAATGAGGACACAACACTACAAATAACTGCTCAAGGAAATGAGGACACAACAGTACAAATAACTGCTCAAGGAAATGAGGACACAACAGATGGAAAAACATTCCATACTCATGGTTAGGAAGAATCAATATCGTGAAAATGGCCATACTACCCAAAGAAATTTTTAGATTCAGTGCTATTCCTATGAAGTTATTAATGACTTTCTTCACAGAATTGGAAAAAAAACACCTTAAACTTCATATGGAACCAAAAAAGAGCCCATATAACCAAGACAATCGTAAGCAAAAAAAGCAAAGCTGAAGGCATCACACTACCTGACTTCAAACTATATTACAAGGCTACTATAATCAAAACAGCATGGTACTCATACCAAAAAAGAGATATAGACCAATGGAACAGAATAGAGGCCTCAGAAGGAAAACCACGCAACTACAACCATCTGATTTTTGACAAACCTAACAAAAATAAGCAATGGGGGAAGGATTCCCTATTTAATAAATGGTGTTGGGAAAACTGGCTAGCCATATGCAGAAAGCTGAAACTGGATCCCTTCCTTACACCTTATACAAAAATTAACTCTAGATGGATTAAAGATTTAAACATAAGGCCTAACACCATAAGAACTCTAGAAGAAAACCTAGGCACTACCATCCAGCACATAGGCATGGGCAAGGATTTCATGACTAAAACACCAAAAGCAACAAGAGCTTCTGCACAGCAAAAGAAACTATCAATAGAGTGAACCAGCAAACAACAGAATGGGAAAAAATTTTTGCAATCTACCCATCAGACAAAGGGCTAATATCCAGAATCTATGGAGAACTTAAACAAATTTACAATAAAAAACAACATCATCAAAAAGTGGGCAGAGGATATGAACAGACACTTTTCAAAAGAAGACATTTATGCAGCCAACAAACACATGAAAAAAAAGCTCATTATCACTGGTGACTAGAGAAATGCAAATCAAAACCACATTACAATACCACTTCACGCCAGTTAGAATGGCAATTATTGAAAAATCAGGAGGCAACAGATGCTGGAGTGGATGTGGAGAAACAGGAATGCTTTTATACTGTTGGTGGGAGTGTAAATTAGTTCAACCATTGTGGAAGACCGTGTGGCGATTCCTCAAGGACCTAGAAATAGAAATTCCATTTGACCCAGCAATCCCATTACTGGATATATATCCAAAGGATTATAAATCATTCTGTTATAAAGATGCATGCACACATATGTTTGTTGTGGCACTGTTCACAATACCAAAGACTTGGAACCAACCTAAATTCCTAGCAATGATAGACTGGATAAAGAAAATGTGGCACATATATACCACAGAATACTATGCAGCCATAAAAAAGGATGAGTTCATGTCCTTTGCAGGGACATGGATGAAACTGGAAACCATCATTCTCAGCAAACTGATACAGGAACAGAAAACCAAACACTGCATGTTCTCACTCATAAGTGGGTGTTGAACAATGAGAACATATGAACACAAGGAGGGGAACATCACACACTGGGGCCTGCGGGGTGGGGAGCTAGGGGAGGAATAGCAGG